TGGGGGGGGGGGGGAGGGGAACTAAAGGCTGACTTCTGAACGGATGCCTATAAGTGCTTTTAGATACTTTTCTATCACCGCACAACATCTACAAGGGAAAACAAGACATACTTCCAAACAAGTTGACAGGACAAAAACCTGAAAGCTTCAAGAAACTTTAAAAAAGAAAGTATGCTGATATACTGTCTGAATAATGTGAGAATAGTCATATATAATGCTCAGCGATCAATACTGACACCACTACAGTGGCCCCCCAAAAGCAGTGCTTTAAAAAAAGTGAAAATCATTAACTGGGCCTTGATTTCAAAAACTAAGATAAACTTTCCTTCTCTACATAAAAAAAACAAAACACACACACAAGAATGCAGTATTTGGGCATTAATGCTATTAGTTACCAAGACAGGTCTCTCCATTACACAAGCCCCTATTCTTCCCCCTGGCTAGACAGAGGCCTCTAAGTGTATAACTAATTCCATGAGACAAATCATGAGAAAAAAGGAACAGAAGTACACCTATGTTAATAACTAGCATGTCAAGGGAAAGCAGCAAACATTTGATAACTCCAGTTAGTGCCCACTAGAACTCTTCTTAAAAAGACATTAGAGCTGGAAGGGACTTCAGAAGATCAGAGTCCAGCCTTCTGCCCCAGGGGCAGGAAGTCAGCTGGGGTCAAAGGATCCCAGCAAAATAGACATCCAAATGTTTCTTAAAAGAGTTCAGTGTAGGTGCTTGCACCACCTCTGGAGGGAGTCTATTCCAAGCCTTAGGGACTCGGACAATAAAGAAGTCTTTCCTTATGTCCAGCCTAAAACGGTCTTGGAGGAGTTTGGAGAGATGTACTGACAAGGGAAAGGAAGACAGCCTCCCAGTCACCCAGACTCCCTTGAACTGGCATCTCCTTCCTAATTCAGTAGACAATTTCATCAGGGCCAGATTTACCAGAATGTCCCAGTACTTTGTGGGGCTACAGATGGGATGTGAAGTAAAACATCCTGGGAAAAGTGCAGCCAGAACTTCAACTAGATGTTCCTGGAGAGGCAGAAGAGGGCTGCAGGCAAGAACTATTATCAGGGTCATGTATTATGCCACCTCATAAGGCACACAATTGTCATTTTGTGACAGGAAAAATTGTTTTTAATGCAAGAACTAAAGATCACCCAAAAATAATCATGAAATGGTCCCCATGTTCCTGAAAAAGATGAAGATTATAAACAGGTATTATGGAGAGAAAAATGTATAACTAAGCTCTCAATGCTAGTAATTTGCTTAAACTTGGGGATTGGAGTGGAGATTCAATTAATTTGGCTCATTGCAAAATGACCCACTTCCAGATCTGGTTTGGGTAGAGGCGAGGCTTCTTGCCACAGAAGCTAGAGCTGCTGCTGCTCAACCACAGCAGTTCCCTCAGCAGGGACGCAGGAGTTCAAGTAACAGACAACTCCTTCACTACTGACAGCTGCAGTGACAAGTCCCCTAGGTCAACCCTCCCTCTCCCCCTATGAGATGGATCTGGGCACGGGTTGTACATTTGACAAACCTGGTTTAATCTAACCTCTGAACATTTTGATTGAAATATAAAACTAATTATTTAAGGGACTGATTAAAGGAATTTTAACATTTCATTCTCAGGGAGTGGTGGTGAGGAAAGAAAAAATTAAAATTGTGCATCACAATTTTACAGTCTCAGACAAGGGCAAATTGTCTCCTGGCCTTGCACCACACAGAGCAACACAAGACATCCAAATAATACTGTCCCACATTTTAAAATATTCATCCAGAGGTAAGAACCTGAAGTCATGAAAACGGGACCTTATACCAAGTGTCTTCTGTTTGCAAGTAGCACAGTATATACAAATGAGAAACTGGACTGAATCTTAAATCAGCCCCTCTGAAGTGTTTGATATGACGTCAGCTTACACACAAGTTTGTCAATGAAAAGGAAAACTAAGTGGACTGTGGAGAAATTCTGCTGCCAGAGGTAAAGGCAGCTGTCCAAAAGCCCAATGTATGCCACAAGCCAGTTCATAAGCAATTCTTGAAAGCAAATTTCCAAGGCACTGCCTATCAGCCAGCAGCAAAAGTTGATAGCAGTTCAGATTCTAAGCGTGTTCAGAGGAGGCATGAACACTGATGTCATATCATTCATCTCATCTGCTATCTGAAAGGGTTAAAATAAATAAACAAACAAGTAACAACCAGCCCAGTACTGCCTCATGATGCAACCGGTTTTGCTTATGCAAAAAATGATCCGAATAGAGAATGATGTTTCCACAGCTTGTGTGTTCAGTGTAATCTTTAGTCAGGTTCCTTTTACATGGCTCTCTGATGAAATTCTCATTTAATACAATCTTTTAGCAGTTTGTTTCCATTTGGCTGGGGGGAAGGCACAAAAAACTTAATATGTGATTGACTTAAAAGGGCTGCTAGAGTATTGCTCAAGTAATTTTTCAAGCTCAACTTCTATCTAGGAATGTCAACAGATTGTAAGACACGTCTGTTTCCTCCCTAGATTTGGAAAGGCAAATTACTGATGCTATTCTAAGTTGGTGAATCTGGGTCATTCACTACACAAGTATTAGCAATACAACTGCATAGCAAAGTTTCTTGCTAATGTATGTCCTTGCCTCAAAGTACAGGATATTCAAAAGCATCTTAGAGTAAGGATTTAGGAAAGAAGTATTATTTAAGTGTATGAAAGAAGTCACTTTAGTTTGGACATGGCAGCCTGTTTGTTATTCCAATTCTTTTTTCATTTGGAATCTAACAACACCTTAGCTGTCTATCACATTCAATACAACAGATTGGCTTTTGGTAGTTCCATGAGGAGAAAAATTCTGCAAAGGCAACTCACTCACAGTCTCGACAAACTTGCTTACAAAGGACACCTCACTCTATTTGATAAATATTTCACAAATATTCTAAAACTAGAACGTTATTTCTGATGTGTCTAATTTGTTATTCTCTTGTTCAATATAATAACATAAATTCCGCTCAAATAGCTTTGACTGGCAATAGCACAGCCTTCTGAAATATTTCCTCTATTGCCCATATACTGTCAGATGCATATTAATCCTTTGTACTTTTCATAAACCAAATTACTATATTGTGTTGAACATGTTTCTGTAAGAGCAGAGGGAATATACTATTTAAAAGAAAATCCAAGAAAAGCAAATGTGTATGATTTCTAAAAGGGGGGGGGGCAGGGAAGGGACATGGCTATGACAAAGCACAAACAAAGATATGGTCATCAAGTTTAAGAAAAACGCTGACTTGACAAATGTGAAATTCTTATTGTGCTAGTGTTGACAAAAGCTGGAAATTCCTAATTTGACACTGTGATGTAACGTAATACTGCAACTTGATGTACCGTCAGAACACAAATACCTTGCTTTCTCAGCCTGTGATTTTCTCAGCTTTTCTGAACTTCTCAGCTTGTGACTTTAAAAGTCAAAGGACTGACAGACTTTAAATCTACTGGGAATGTCTGAACCTTAGTCCCATAAAAGGTGCAAATTTTACTCCAGCAGATTAAAACTTTTGTTAACTAACCTCCAGGAAGAAAACACTACATCAACACTTATCATCTCCTTTAGTCTTAAGAGGTGTGTTTGTGAAAAATATGGGAGGTATCAATGAAAAGTAAACCCATTCTAAAATGAGCAGTTATTGCATTTCTCCTTTCTTCCATTTTCAAAAACAAGAGACAATACAGGATTTTGAGTTTGATATTTATTTTTAGCAGGATGTGTGTACTAATGGATGGTGACATCATTAGAAGATACGTCCATGTCCACCACCTGCAACAGAAGCTAGATAGATGTTAAAGTAATCATACTGAAAGATGGTAACATGACACTACTTACCCACCATGGTATTTAAGTCACCTAGTAAGCTGCAAGGTTAGCTTTTGATGCAAACATACTTTACCAGCTGTTAAAATTCATCTATCAAGCTAATTCAATGCATACAGTACCTTGAATTTAATGGGAATAATCAAGTAAAAGTTAATTAAAATGTACCCGGTACAAATCCTCTTATATAGAAAAGGTACACATAGATATTGTTCTGCAATGAGAGAATATTACTTACCTATAATTCTTTTCTTAAGATGTCCCAATCTAGGCCTATAGATCCAGTAAATGACTAGCAAGAATTCCTGGCAGTTTCCATTCCAATGCTACTGAACTACATCAGTAGACACTACTGCTCTATTTATAAAACATTTTTTTGCAAACCAGAAGTATAAACTTTAAAACACCTCTCTGAAGGAGAGAGAAATATATCCATTTGTTTCCAACAGTGAAGTTTTTTACCAGATTTTTATAAAAGAACAGCTTCAGGCAAAGGTATCTAACCTAGACAGACATAAATGCTATTTAAGATTTTTGTTTGTTTGTTTAAGATTGAGCACAAGCAGGCTAACTCTGACCTACATCTAAAATACTGCTGCAAATAATCTGGTCCTAGAAATCCTTGCTAGACTGACCAATTAAGCTTCAGTTAAACCCAGGAAATTTATATAAATAGTTTCAAAAGCAGAGCTGGACATCAGGACTCTCAAAATAACTCAGTTTCACACAAGATGCACCAAATTAGGTCAAGTAGTTTATCTTCAGAATTTCCTGTAAGGTCAAATAAACCCGTTAGGACTTAATACACTGAGCAAATTGAGATTTTAATATTACTGAAGACCGCCTATTTCCACAGTACTCAATACTGTCCCCTTCAATACAGGTTAAGGTTTGTATCTGGAGAAGTTGTGCAATTCAACAGAAAACAAGCTGTTGGAGGCACACACCAAGAAAAACAACACCCCCCTAAGGTAGAAAAAAAATTGTTTTTTGTAATTTTACAACAAAAGAATTCCTGCTAGTCACACACTGGAAGTAAAGACTGAGGAGTGATGATCTAATATTTACCCTTAGGAAGAAATTTTAAACAAACTAAACATTTAATACTATGTTTAGTGAAGAACATATACTAACAAAAATTTTACGCACTTCCAACTTATGCTCTTTCTCTGCAAGGAATTCTTTTTGACATCGGAGAAAGTCTGACAACATTCGAGTTAGTTGTTTTCTATCATCTATTTCAGCCGCCAACCTGCCATTGTAATCCGCCAGCAACATACATGCATCATCTACCATTTTGGAAAGTTGTTCTCCAGATTCCTTATCTAAAGAAAAAAAGAAAAAAAAGTACAGCACCGCATTACAAAAACTCCTGTGAAGCTCCAACACTAATACTTCAATTACTGGATCTCAGGTCTTACCTGTTATTCTATCTAGCAAGGACACATCTTGGACTTCTACAGGCAATGAAGCTATCCGCTGATGAACAGCTGCATCTCCTGAGGCAGCATTCTCTAGTTCTTGTAATGCTCTAATGAGATCTGTAGTCTGAAAAAGAAAACCCCCCACATTATTAAATGAGATTCAGTCAACAAATCATGATACAAATTGTCAGCCATTTCACAAATTTACAGAATGCATCAGCCCAAGAGCATTTTGCCCAAGGCAGCCTTAAAAAAATAATATTCTCTCCCCATTGGTGAAGCAAACAGTATCATTACTACATATATTAATTCCATACAGATGAGCATTAGCATTCCCCATTTCAAATCATGTCCCGTTAAAAAGGGCTTCAGTTTACATTTTTAATTTGTGCAGCAGTAAAACAATAAAAAAAAAGTCAGTCAGTCTCAAGAGATGTGCATTTGTTACACTGAAGAAGTTAGTAACAAAAATGTTGGTGCAACAAGATTTACCAAGTCATTACCTCTAATACTCTTTTGGCCTGATATTCCCCTAGCTGCCTTAAAAACTTCTGGCAAGATGAATTACCATAACTAAAAAGTCAGAATTAGGATGACAATGAAGTGCCTGCATTTTCTTAAAAACAGAACATTTTCCCCAAAAATCAGCTCTCCCCAAATTGCGGTACACATATTAAGCAGGGAAAATTATTTTCTGCATGGGATAGAAGCCCCCCCACACCAATTCCTGTTCCATAGTGCAACAGCTGTGGCATTACTATTCAGGCAACTGAGCAAGTCGATTGCCTTACTAGCTCATTGTCCTTCACTCCGTCAGTTGCTAACTATTGTCTCTCATTTTTAATGGTTCTGATGTTCCACTAATCAAGCTAACCTTTAAAGGCAATTTTCCTATTTGCTCCTAGTTTCTCTCTCCCCCTATTTTATAGACTCTAGTTCTTTTCAAAATTAAAATCATAGATCCACTCATGAGGTGCGTCCAAACAAGTGTGAACGTGCCTCTTGCAGTGTCTCAAACTCCTTTGGTGCAAAAAGATTGCAAATTTGATAAATTGCAATCTTTACTGCTGCAAATTTGATAAATTTGCTCAAAATTTGGTATCTGGAGAACCAGGTATCAAAAAAATACCCCAGGGGAAAAAAGCGGGCCAGGGCACAGTCCTGGATTCTGCCCTGAGGCAGCCAGAGGCTCTGTCTTCCACAGGGATGCTCTAGTAGCCAGCCAGAGCATCTCTATGGCTGGCCTTTGCCTCAGTGCTGAAGCACGCCGCCTGCCTGTGTGGGGCAAGCAGCAGGGCAGGCTGCAGGGACCTGGACCCGGGCTCTGTTCCAGGTAAGTAGGGAATGGGAGGGGGGCCTGGAAAAGAGGGGAGTGGACCATGGGGAGGCCTCTGCCCCAGCCCAGCCCCCTGATCTCTCCCCAACTTCCCTCTCATTCCCCCAGCTCCCCAATCTCTCCCCAGCTTCCGCCTCATTCCCCCAGCTCCCTGATCTGTCCCTAGCTTCCCCCTCATTCCTCCAGCTCCCCAGTTTACTCCAGCTCCCAGATCTCTCCTCAGCTTCCCCCTCCTTCCACCAGCTTCCCAACTGCTCCCCCAGCTTCACCCTCATTCCCACAGCTCCCCAATCACTTCCCCAGCTTCCCCCTTGGACCTTGCAGGAGGGCAGTCCATGTGCTGTGTGGGGCAGGTGAGCCCTCTGGGGGGGCAGAGGACTCACCCCTCCTAAGTAGCTCCCCCACACAGTCCCCCCACACCGCTTCCCACCCCTCTCCTGCAAATCCTACATCCCCCATCACACACCCATTATGTGATAAGAAAACCAAAAGCAAACATCAAAACATATAGGTATTTAAAATGTATTTTATTATGATGATAGTGACACTTGTAGACTTCCAAATTGCTCTAACATTGTAAATATTGCAATAAGACATGGCCCAACTGATCTCTCTCTCCCTCTATATACATACACACACACAGGCAACCCGCCCCCCCTTAACACTGTTCTACTTAACGCTATTTCGCTATAAAGCTCATTTTAAATTGATACCCGATTTCACTTAGCACTCAGTGAGTTTCATTATAATGCTAGCGGTCACCATCTTGGGTCATTAAAAACAATTGCGATTGTCATCTTGAGCTGTCAAATATTTTCCTTTTCACTTAACACTTGTTTTGCTTAACATTCGCCTTTTCAGGAACCAATTAAGAGCGCTAAGCAGGGGTTGCCTGAAGTGGTCTTTTGTTCTAACTGGAAGAACATGGACTTTGGGGTATTTTAAATGGTGAATTTCGGATGCTGCTTCAGCAGTCCAGCTGCCATAAGGGGTAGTGTCCCCAGATACTAAGTGGCCGGGCCCCAGAAGCTCCTGAGAGCAAGTAGACCTGAGCTGTTTGCCAGGGCAGCTTTTTATCCTGCTGGGACCAGCACAGGTACTGAACATGCCCATGCAGATCAGTCTTCAGCAGCAGCTAGGCCCTCAGCTTTAGTTAAGGAGGAAAGGAAGGGTGAATCAGCTGAAGAGTAAGCTCTGATCCTGCTCTATGCAGCCTTAAACTCAGGAAATAACCTTTTTTCCTTCATTGCATAATATATTCTGGGACATAGGTATGCAACAAAATTTAAGTTGGCTATTGTGGAATCATACTTCAAACAGAAACATTGTTGACAAACTTACAATAATCCTAGTTTAATATATTCCTTATTTTACTGAGAAGGCAAGCTTTTGTCATTTTAAAGTTCTATAAAAAAACTAATATGCACATGTATTAAGTGTCAAATTTGCTGAAATTATAAGATACTTCGATATTAATGTGTCAGAACCAAGATTTAAAAGATACATATTTCAGGAAGCCCACAAATAAAAAGTACATAGTAGATTTTGGTGGACTGAATAATGTACACCAGAGTTGTTTAAGAAAAACAAACCTATATTTTTTAGTGTTCAATTTAATCTTCCTACTTATCCCCAGTATTTGGAGCTTAACAAGACAAAACTTTACAGGTCATTTCCTCTGGCCTATCAATGTTCCTTTACATCCTTAAGAGCACCACCCCAGAACTTATAATTACTGTGAATGAATGAACGAGCATCAGCATGAGGGAATTATTAGCAAAGCTAATGCATCTAACAGTGATATCCATCTCCTCTCCCTTCCCCTCCCCTCCAATATAATGGCATGTATAGCAGCTGGTACTTCTGGGATCAATACTGTCTGCACAGCTGAGAGCACAAGTGCTGCCTTGAGTTACACTAGCATTTGTTTTATTCAAATCAGTCCAAGAACTGAGGAAACAGAGGTGAGAGAAGCACTTTTACTTATCTACTAGCTATGTCAAGCGATGACCGAGATCTTAAAAGGAAGCCTTATAGCGCAGAGTGAGTACTATAAATTTCCAGTCATTGTAACTGTATCCCAAACCTTATGAAATATTTAAAGTTGTACATTTACATCTACCTGTGGAGGGTCAGTTGGAGAACTTCGGGCTGAACCGTTGTTGTCTTCAACTTGTATCTGCTCATACGTGCGCTTCTTACCCTTCTTGTCACCATCTAGAAATTAAAGGACAGATCCAAAGGTCAGTTCAAGGAACCATATATTAAAACAAGAGAGAAATCAACACCCTTGTGTTCACAATATACTTACACAATGCTTGCCTAAGTTGTTCTAATACATCGTTTTCATAAACAGACCTCTCTTCCCAGATAGAGAGTACTCGGCCAAGGTGCTTCTTACAACTCTCATCAGACTCACTGTTGCAAGGAAGAAAAGTAAAATCACCGCTAATAAAAAATTGTAATATACCCAGTATCAAACAATGCAGCCTTATGATGTCTTTTATCCAATAAACTGGCTTTACAAACGTAAAAATAAATCTAACTTCTGACATGCCCGTAAGAAAAATCTTTGTTCTACATGAAGAAAGCCAAGGCACAAGAAGTAATCTGTCCAATACCATGCAGCAAGTATGTCATGCTAAAGTACAAGTCTCTTGGCCCACAACTCTAATTTCACTATTGAAGAATGCATGAGAAAACATGATTTATTTACAGCACAGGTGCTCAACCTTTAGGCCCTGAAGGCCAGTGCATCTGATTCAGCACACATGGGCCAGGATTCCCCACAGATCCAGAAGTTTGGTGTGAGCATATAGCATAAGTAAATACAAAGGTTTACCTTCATTCTAATATGCAAAACAAAGATGGCTTACAGCTTTTCAAAATAAAAAAAAGATTATCTGCATGTAGACAAACATGTATATTAAAGAGATCAAAATATAATAACCATGTATTCACTATCCAAATGATATTTTTTTATTTATTTATTTTTTTTTAACTAAACTAATGCATAACAGGAAACTTTAAAAAGTATAATGAAGATCCAAATTAATGGTTATTTAATCAACACATATGAAGGTCACTGGGTAGATGAGAGGTTAACTTGCTAATAAATGTTTTCAGGGCTTTCTCCTTCATAGATGTATTCACTATTTAAATCCTTACCAACACTGCAAACAATATATTTTTCCCCATACCTGGAAACATGCTTAAAAGCCTCCACTATAACCGGTGCAAAGTCTTTTGTAAATTCTGGTCCTTTCCTTTTGCTGTTCTGAATTACATCATTGGCCAGGTATAGGAAAGTAAGCTTCCTGTTTGACTTTGCTGATAAAAAGAAAAAAATAAATAAAAGAGTAAACCAATACAGTAATACAAAGCAGTTACTGATATAAAACTATTTCTGCAGAATAATGCTGTAAAGGACCTATCTAAAAATACAAAGTTGCCTAGTATTGATTACCAATGGAAAAATATATACAAATAACACAGTTGCAGAGGAAAACTATATCATTATAATAAATCAAATACATCACACTTGTCCTTATCTCCTGTAGCAACAAATCTCCATTTTCCTTTAAATTGTTCCTTCAAATTCTATCCATCCCCAGCATCCCTATTAGGCTTCAAATTTAGAGGTGGAATGAAGTTTTTCCAAGTCACAACATTGTGAATCAAAGTATATCAATGAACTTGTAACCTTAGGAATGTTTGCCCTGTGTTACCATAAGAGACCTAAAACTACTAAGCAACTTAAGTGACTTATTCCCATTAAATGAGGCTTCAACTCCTAAACTTAAGCTATGTTAGGTTAGGTTTAGGAGTACCGGTACATTGCTAGACTGTCATTTACCACAGTCTTTATTAAATTATACTCCTCAGGGAAGCAACTGCTTTGCTTTTATATAGGAGGTGTTGGGGGGGGGGGGGTTTGTCCTAAAATTTTACAAACTATAAAATGTAAAAAAAATATTTTAAATCCACGGGT